TGGAACAAAATAGAGAGCCCAGAACGCCCCCCCCCCATGTTTTATGGTCAATTAATATTTAACAAAGGAGGCAAAAACATACAATGGGTTAAAGACAGTCTATTCAATAAATGGTGTTGGGAAAATTGGAAACATGCATGCAAAATATTGAAACTAGACCACCTTCTTACACCATACACAAGAATAAACTCACAATGAATTAAAGACTTCAATGTTAGACTTAAACCATAAAATTCCTAAAAGAAAACATAGGCAGCAAAATCTTGGATATTTCTCATTTCAATATTTTTTTCTAATATATCAACCTAAGCAAGGGATACAAGAAAAATAAACAAATGGGACTACATCAACCAAAAAAATTTTGCACAGCAAAGGAAACACAATAAAAAAAATGAAAAGACAGCCCACTGAATGGAACATATCTATCAAAATACATGGGATAAGGTATTAATATCCATAATTTACAAAGAACTCATAAAACTCAACATCCAAAAAACAAGCAATCCAATTAAGAAATGGGAAAGAACCTGATAGACACTTCTCCAAAGAGGTAATACAGATGGCCAACAGGCATATGAAAAGATGCTCAACACCACTTATCAACAGAGAAATGTAAATTAAAACCACAATGATATATCACTTCAGACTTATCAAAATGCTATCATCAATAAATCAACAGATAAGTGTTGGCAAAGATGTGGTGAAAAGAAAACACTGTGTAAAACAGTACAGAGTTTCCTCAAAAAATTAAAAATGGAACTGCCTTATGACCCAGCATTTCCACTTCTGGGACTATACCTGAAGAAATCTGAAACACTGATCGGAAAGAATATATGCAGCCCTATGTTCACTGCAGCATTATTTACAACAGCCAAGATATGAAGCAGCCCAAGTGCCCATCAGTAGGTGAGTGGGTAAAAAATCTGTGGTACTTTTACACCATGGACTACTACTCAGCTGTGAAAAGGGGGGAAATCATACCCTGTGCCACAGCATGGATGGGTCTGGAGAGTATTGTGCTAAGTGAAAAAAGCCAGTCAGAGACAGACAAGTACCATATGATTTCACTTATATGTGGAATCTAATGAACAAAAACTAACAAAAAAAAAAATAGGAACAGACTCCTCAATACAGAGAATAGACCAGTTCTCAGAGAAGAGGGGATTGTGGACACTGGATGCAAAAGGTAAAGGGATTAAGCAAAGAAAAAAATCCTTCATTGACACAGAAAACAGTATGGTGATTACCAGAGGGAAAAGAGGGGTTGGGGGAAGGTAGAGGAGAGTAAAAAGGGGATAAATGGTAAGGGAAGGAGACTTGATTTGGGGTGAACATGAAATACAATATACAGATGGTGTATTATAGAACTGTACACCTGAAACCTATATAATTTTATTAACCAATGTCACCCTACTAAATTCAGTAAAATTTTTTTAAAAAAGTGTAGCGTTCTCAGGAACCAGGCAGCAAGAGAAAAATAACATGGCTCCTCTTGACCTGCAGAAGTGCGAGTCCCTGAGAGTCACACTCATTACTACACTACTGTTGGTCCGGGACTCAGATATTAGCAAATCCATTTGGCAAGAAGGGAGGGCCAGGCCTAGCCTCAGGGGAAGAGCTGCCTCAACCAGTGTAAGCATGAGGCTGATGCTGGCACTTAAATCTTGTGTCTTAGTTAGAATCTCTGGACACTGGGCTCAGGCTGTCACAGCTGACAAATTTCCTAGCCACGCTGCCAGGAGTTGTAAAGCATGGGGCAGACATGAAAAATTCTTATCCAGCTTCTGAATCCCTTTTTTCTAGTGACTGCCCATGCACTGAGACTTACTTAATGGCATCAGCATATCCTGGAAAAAGTATAAATCAGCAGTGCAATAGCTGGACTAGAAAAGTACTTCTATTCTTAAAGTACACCCAGGCCAAAACCTTATGTACATATAGAATTAAATGAGTGGTTTGTGCTGTGTTTTAATTTTATGTATTATATCTCATTCATGTCTTATTCATCCTAATTGAGAGTAAAATATTTGAGGGTAGGACTTTGTCAGATTGCCTTGTACGAAAAAAAATGTTTTATTGAATATTTGTTCAAAGTACCTTCTCCATTAATTCACAACATTATCACGATACCCTTGGGAAGAGTTATTAGTCCTATTTGAAACTGAAACGATTGAGACTCACACAGAGGTGACTGAGTAAATGGGAGTCTGAACAACAGCAAGGATATTAATCCTTTTGGTGATGATGATGAGGCTTAAAGAGAGTCAGACACTTGCTGGAGATCCATAGCTAGACAAAGGTGGAGGTGGGGCCGACTCCTTGCTGGCACTGCACCCTCTCCACTGTGCGGGGCTTTGCAGATGAATATACTACAGTGTAGAAAAGACACATGTGTAGAGTTCCAGCAGGGTCTCCTAACCAGAAGAGTAAAAAAGATGTTGCTGTTTCAGGCTGGCTAGAGAGGCCGTGCTCTTCATAGTGGGCATGCTTGGCTATGACCATTTCTCATACATAATAACAATGCATCAGCTTCCCACACGAGTGACACTGAGAATCTCAGGATCACTGATGCTTGTCATAGACGCTCCATCATTGGAGGCTTCCAGGTGCCTGTCTCTGTGTTCCAGGTGCTTCACCCACATCAGACCTCCTGGTCTTATTTGGTATTACAGGCAATCTCTCAAATCATCCTCTTAAACCATACAGGGTGTATGACAACCTGTGAGGAAGCCACTTATGTTCAATTACAGGTGTTTTTTTTTTAACATGTCCACTTTTTCTTCTGGGGTTTATTTGGAGAGAGAGTTGAAAAGAACACACTGTGCGGGAGGTGCCAGTAAAATGCCATGGTCATTTGGGAGACCTGTCTGGAGTTGCTGGCTGTGATTTACTGAAAAGAAAATGAACTACATGCCACCATCCATCTTGCTGAAATGCAGGCATGTGCAGCTCCAGCGGTGGAGAAGGCCCATGGGGATCCCTGCAAACCTCCACTCTGGTTTGAGAGCCATGTATATGCTGCAGAGAAATGAAACTCATGGTCCATGGGCCAGCAAGGAATTTTCCCGGGACCCAGAAATACAAAACTACAGAGAACCAACTCTTAATTTTGGCACGAAAACTCACTTCTCCATGATGCCATAAATGAGGTCCAAAGGTTCCAACTGGAAAAACACAGCTCATATTATCAGTACGTTATATCATTGTCCATCTACGTGAAACTCTATCAAGGATTTGCTGTGACTGTGAATGATACATGAAAGGAGTAACCCAGAGTAGGCAGAGTAACAATGTGAATATCATCATTGATCTTCAGGGAACAACCCCATTTTCCTCTTTACTATTGGCCTGGCAGTCAGTGAAAAACATCCATCCAGCTGAAGAACAAAAGACCTGCCACTCTTTCTCTAACAAGAAGAATGCTCAATATTTACCATGGCAGGGAAGACCTCTTTGGCACCTCAAAAATATGTTTGTAATTTAATTCTTACAGGTGGGTATACGGCCACAGTTGTTTCAGGCTGGTAAACAGTACTAGATCAAAATGAAATTCAAATTGGTCATTACTGCCGGCGGTAGCATTTTGGTTAGGGAGGAGACTAAAACCACTGGTAAACTGAAATCTGGTCATCTTGTCCTTCAGTACACAGACTGGTAATCGGTTGTTTCTGCTGAAAGCTTTAAGCAAAAGAGGACTGAGCAGCGGAAAAGGTCAGATCAGGCTCCTACACTGGGGACCAGGGGAGGGTGGAGGGGCTCATAAAAGGCCAGTCCACCACACTTCAAGGTTCAGATGATAAATAAAACCAGGGGACATGGTGCTACTTAACATTTCTGATTTTCTTCTTTAAATTAGCCAGGAATTTGGCTGGCCTATTTTCTTTTTTAATCCTAACCCAAGGATATTTTTTCATTTATTTTTAGAGAGCGTGAGAGAGATAAGGAAAGACAGAGAGAAATATCGATGTGAGAGAAACACATTGATTGGTTGCCTCCTGCATGAGCCCTGACCAGGACCTGGGCCGGCTGGGGAGGAGCCTGCAACCGAGGTACATGGCCACGGCCAGAATCAACCCCGGGATACCCTTGGTCCGCAGGCAGACGCTCTATCCAAAGAGCCAAACCGGCCAGGGCTGTTAGTCCATTTTGTCATTTGGAGAGCCTTTAAATAGCATTTTTTAGTTTTTCCCATTTATAGATACCAAGAGGTCCATACGTGAAACTTAAAATGCCCTATGGGTTTTTAATATGCTAATTCACAGTATTTAAACCTCATAGGGAAATGTTCAATCCCTAACCACGCCCCACTCCGCAAACACGCCTTGGCTACCTCAAGGTAGACCACCAAAGCCTCAGTGAGACCCCAGGCTTCCACCAGCCTCTGTTCCAGGTTGAGGGGTGGGAAGCTCAACTATACCACGGCTAATAACAGACTCCCCTGGACGGCCCTGGAGCCTCTGGACACGTACTTGCTGAGAAGGAGCCAGCCCTGTCTGCATTTCCAGACACAACCCAGGGAGCAAGGAAGCCTCCCCAGCCCCATCTGCCCAAGGAGCACTGGGAGCGGGCTCTGTGGAGATGCCCTAGACCTGGCATATCCCACTAGCAGCAGCCCTGTCTCCCTGAGACCCAAAACAGGCAGACATTTCAGAATCTGTCTCATCTCAGCAGTGCAAACAATCATGGGCTCCATTTCCTCCAAAGACTTCACCTTCAAAATGTTCATATATGTCCTTTTCTTTCTTTTTGACACAATTTTCCCTTTTGGAATCAGGTTACTACATCATTCTTCCTAAATAAATATCTTTCACAGGTTACTATAAACTTGGCTCCCAAACATGCTGCCAGATATTTCATGACCTTCTGAAAAGCAAATGTCAAACCCAAACTCGCGCATGCGCGTACACACACACACACACACACACACACACACACACACACATCAATGTGACCACCCTCTGCCCAAAGAGCCCTTCAACATTCATCGAACGTGGCCTTACCTTTCCAAAGAAGTGCTGAGTGGACACGGCGAGCGCCTGGAAACCGCAGATGGCCCGTCTCAGCTCCCGCTGCACGAGGCCCAGCTGCCTGGCCTGCTGCTCACTCCTCTCCTTCAGCCGCTGAACCAACTGCCTCTCGGCTTCGCGGGCCTGCGGGTCCGGCTTGGGGGAAAACCCATTTCGGGGAGCCGTGCTCCTCTGTTTGGGGTATCCTATTAAAAAAATAGTGGCTTGTGAAAAAAACATGCAGCCCTTATTACAAGGTATGACTTGTAATAAGGGGACAACAGCTCCTTATTACAAGATTTCTTCAAGAGCAAGTGGCCAAAAAGAAATGGCCATGGTTTGTCACTGTAGGTATTAGAAAGAAAAAACAGACAGGGACTTAAAATATTTGCTCTGCTTATGTGGTTTTTGCAAGTTTCATGCTTGAAAAAAGAATAACCAGGCCAAATTGCCCAATTCCTTTCAGCTTCCTCCATTTCTTCCAGGTCTGCTTAGAGAGATTAGAGTAGATGGTTTAGCTTCAAAGGAATTACTCTTTGAAAATGTCTAATGGGAAATCAATCAATCAGTGCAGGTCAAAGTCATAGTTGTAACTAATTGAGCATCAGGGAGTACTGTCTGTGTGCCCTTGCCTCCCTTTCTGTGGTCATCTAGTGACCTTTTCTTTGATGTCTGATGTAAGTCACACCTCTGATGGCCTCTGTTCCAGGGTTTTCTGGCTTTAAATTTCTACAGCATCAATGTCCTCCAAAATATCCCCCAGGTGACCACTCACACCACCTCCCCAACTCTTGGTCTGGTCCAAGGCACCACGACCTGTCACCCATGGGAAGCCCTGCTCCTCTTCATCTCTCACTGCACAGATTATAAAGGATAATCTTTATAAATAGAGAACAGCTCATGCCTGTGCTGAGCTTTCCCTCCAATTATGTCCCATTGCAGTAAGAAAGTGCTCATTCCTTCCCATGGCCCAGGAAGCCTCTGGGATCTGGTAACTGCCAGGCAGATGGTGGGGTGTATGTGTGGGCAGGGGGATGGGGCCCAGGGAAAGGAATCAGAAACTCCGCCTGGGGTTGGGGACAGGATGGGGAGGCTTTAAGGAGAAGTGACTATTAGGCTGAAGCTTGAAGGCTCAAGGCAAGGCCCCCGGAAAGAGCACAGACAAGCACTGTATCATAGTACCAGGGTCTTCCTCGGAGCTGCTGTCCTCTTTGTGGGAGCTCGGGCTGACCTGACACCCAGAGAACATCTCCTTTGCACGATGGACTTACTTCCCAGAAGTGCATTCTTTCCTTTGCACTTGAAGCATGTGACAGACACTAACCACACAATCACAAATAACTTTAATACCTCAAACATTCTTTTGTCTCCTTTGCTCACCTCCAACATACTAGGGAATAACACATAAAGCAAATCAGTACCTGAACCACAGACAGAGCAGAGAAATGGGCTTGGAACACACAAGTGGCCTCATCTTTTAAGGAGAAAAGATGGCTAATTGCTCTAACTACTTCTGATTGGTAATTTAATGGTAACCAAGAAAGTTTTAATGAAATCTTCCTCCTACTAAGAAATCATCCAAAATTGCATTGTGGCCTCACATATGACATATCTTAAACTGGATGGCTTAATAGAATAGTAGAATGTGAACTTATTGCTCCTTTAAAGCTGGCTTTATGACAGTAGCATACATAATATTCCAGAAAATTCACTTGCACATTGTAGGAAAATCAATCTTAATATGTACTTAATTTCAACATTCTCAATACTGAACATAAAAGAAAAATAACCAACAAACCATGTGAGATTTACTGTGTGCATTAAACTCTAACACACAGCCTAAGACCCCAGGTGGACTTTTTTCACGATTACTGTTTGCCATTTTATTGCTATGGCTGGTGATTTTATCAAATACTCCAGTGTTGTAATTATTGAGGTACCAGGTGCATGACACTGATACTATAGAAGATATCTCTTTTAGAAATCTGAAGGAAATAATAAGCACACCTCTAGCTCAATGAATTAAAGTTACTTGCAATGGAGGGCACACAGAGTCATGTGTGAGCTTGTGGATAGCAGTAAGCAATCAGGTTGCTGTGAATTTTTGGCTGTCAGGTTTTTCCCTGTTATTGTTACTATTACTATCAATATCATCATCATCATCATCATCATCATCATCAGGTTAGCAATTATATTCAATGGTAAACGGACAATATAAAATGATTTCCTGAAATCCTATTCTTGGTGTTAAAGGGAAGCAAAGTTTGCCACCCCCAAAATATAACTTTTGGAATATTGATTATTTTAAGCTGGTTATTAAGGAACAAAAGACTCAGAAAGAACCTTTGACCCTCTTCCTTTACCCGTCTATGTCTAAAGAAATTTAGGTAGAGGACCTGTTCCAGGAAGTGAGCCATAATCAGGTAACTGTAGTTTACTCTGAACCAGGTGTGATAGACAGGGAGGGAGTAAGGTACCTTTGCTCAAAGTCCTCTCTGTGTCCCATTGTTAAAGTTGGCTCAGGAAATATTTGTTTACCAAACATTCATTTCCATCTCCATGTGAGTTGCCTTCCTGCCATTTGAAGTCCCAAACCACTCCCCTTCCCTACCTTCTCCTTAGCTCAAGATGACATATAAGTCTCAACTGCCTAATGTTTCTTTGGGTCTCATATCTTTTGGCACCGCCAAATGTACATCTGTAATATAATCCTCTGGCATTTTCTCCTCTTAATCTGTCTCATGTTAACTTGATTCTTAGCCCAGCTAAAAGAACTTAGAAGGTGGGAGGAAAGTTATTTTTGGAGCCTCCACAGTGCTTACTTGATTTGATGTTATTACTATACTAGAGGCCCAGTGCATGAAATTTGTGAAGACGTAGGGTCCCCAGGCCTGGCCTGTGATCAGGGCCTTCCAGCTGCTGGGCGGGGCTTTCCTTCCCCGGTTGCCAACTGGGGCCTTACTTCACTCCATGCCACCCCCTGGTGGTCAGCACATGTCATAGTGAGTGATCAAACTCCCAGTCTCCCGGTCACACTCCTGAGGGGACATCTAGCATATTAGCCTTTTATATATATATAGACTGCTTTCATTCATACACTCAATTCAGTGTTCTATTAAACATCAGTGCACTCAGTCCACATTTCTATTCCTGGGGCCAACAAACAAACATTTGAGCTAAGATACAGGCTCCCCTGTGAACATCAGCTTTTGGTATCAACACACCAAGCAAAAGTTTAGCAGATTGTGGCACCAAAACAATGCTTGCTTGGGACTCGTGGCTGGCTGTGCATGCGCCACCCAACCAACATCCCAGCATAGACTAAGGCTCAGAATTCAGTGCTAAGACTATAGGGAGGAAGCATGGAGAAACAAGGCTGGCGGTGGAGAACTCTACTGCTTTTAGAGGAAAAGGGTCCTGCCCTTTCTAAACATACCAAATGAAACTTTGTCTAGGTCTAATCATTATTTTACAGTCAATAGCATATTTTTGGTCCTCACTAAACACAGTATTCTTTCTTGTGCTGTCAATTTTTGGTATGTGTTTCGTTATCTAACATCATGAAGTATTGCTCCGTCACTTATTTCCCTGCCTGCCCTGTGAGAGGCCATCCCCAGATGGTGCACAGCGACAGCTGCCCAGGCTCACCTACTATCTTGGGGATGGCGAACTTATGTTGAAAGATGACTGACACACAGCAAGCTTCACCTGTTTCATTAAAATGTAAGGAGGATTTTGTTTGTTTTTGCTATCTTCTCTTAAAAATTAGCACATAATGAGGCTAAATAATAATCTGCGTAGGAAGCAAGGACCAATGGAACCATGAGATGAAAAACTCCTGGGTAGCAGTGAACACAGGGAAGGTGTGGGAGCATGGTCGGCACTGGCGGGGATGTGGTTGATGGAGGTTCTCCTCTGACCTCTCACACACATTTCCCTGGAAGAACCACAATGCACACTTCAAATGAGAGGCACACCATGTCCTCTGAGGACACTTCCAGATGCTGAAAAGTTTTGTTCTTACTTCCTTCCATGTTACTTGTGGTATTTACATTGCTTCCAGGGTAGTGGAAGGTTCCCAGCAGGCAGGCATGCCCCTGACCTCCCTGCTGCAGTCAAGCAGCGCCACTTACATGTGTGTGTTTAGGTTCTTTTAAAAAAATCAAAGCTCTGGCCTCCCACACTATCTTCTGATTTCCACTCAGTTGAACTAGGGCACTGACATTAGTGAATAAAGACCTTCAAAATAGGGTCTATGATGGTTTTAAAGTCTTTAATTGAAGTGAAAAAGAGAGTAGAAATACCAGTGTTTTTACTGTTTGCCACAGCTGTTGCAAAAGCTTAACCTCAGTACTTCTCTTTGATATAAAATATAGGAGTGGAAATACCCAGACCAGTGTCTTTCCAAGACCTATAGACAGATCTAATTTCATATGTACGCTTCATGCCATGTGCTTTGGAGGGGACCAAAATGCTTAACAGCTTTTATTGAGCACCTACTCTACTCCCAGGGCTCTTAGCACGTAAGTCCACTGCTGATCACCCCTGCAACATCTCCAACTGATCTCATGGGTGTGGGGACACATCCTAAATCTAGAACATTCTCCTATTATCTCAATCTTGCCCCAATCACAATTTCTCTGTAGTCATCCTACTGGCTCCATAACTCTGGTTAGAGGCAGAGGGACTCTATGATGACTGTAGTGAAAACTGGCAACTTACAGGGAAAAGCCAGTAATCTTATATTCTCACAAGGTTGAGTACAAGCCATGTGCGTGCAGAGGCTAAGCACTGGGGAGAAGAACAGCCTGGAAAGTGGAATATTAAAAATTCATCTGAAGCCATCTGGTCACTATCCAGAGGGTTCTAATGGATGTTAAATCTTAGTTTAATCTTAAAGCTGGAAGTTTAACTGACATGATAACAAACATACTGCAGCATAGAAACCTGCGTGTTTACACCAGAGAAGGCCCATGACCTTAACATTGTAAACAAGAAAAAGAAGAGAATCACAGGACACAGCTTTGATAGCCTTAGGAAAAGCACTGCACGAGTGTGCTCAGCATCCTGACAGAAGCCATTCTGTTTCTTGCAGACTGGACTCTTACCTCACGGACATCCGCAGAGCATGCAGAGGGGTCTTCCCCAGCAGCTGGTGAGATGAGCTAATCTGGACCTTCCTAATGCAGCTGACCAGAAAGATCCA